GATGTTCTAATGTACTTGAAATTGAGAGATAACACTAAAGGTGGCAACCGATTGAGGCACCCAGGTATCAAAAGAATGTAGACACCATCTAGTATATTTCTTTTACCAGTAATCTGTTTCGTTGTAAGATCTTGAAAAATACAGTGATCATAAAATAATATAATAGAACAATTCAAATCTTTAGTCAACTTACTCACATAAATCATATTGAATGCAAGTTTAGGTAAACTTAATATAGATGACAGGGTAATAAATGAGTTGGTTTTGTAATCCCGGAACCCACAATATTATAGGTCGACCCATCAGCAATAGTTACAGAAAATGGTGCTTTGTGTGGTAAAAAACTAGAAAAAATATTAGAATTACCTATCATACGATTTATAGCACTAGAATCAATCACTCATCTGTTCGAAAATGAAATAAGACATTTTTTTCTCTGATTGAGTAAAAGTAGAAAATTTATTCAAAAATTCATGATACTAAGTCAATTTAGAATATTCGTCAGCTGAATCATAACAGTTCTCTCAAAAGATGAGCTAGCAGTAGCAGCAACAATACTAGTGGTGTATGTTCTTCGATTGCGATTTTGCAATTTTTTACAGTACTGTTTTATATTCTCGTGTTCACGGTAGTAATAATAGACAATATTTTCATCCATTTTAATTCAGAAATTACAAAAAAAAATCACTCAGAATACCCAAAACACAACAGTCAGAGATATCCTAAAAACACTGCAAATATACTAGAAAATTTGACAAAATAGAGTACCTCCTCACACACGGCTGTCAACAACTCTACCAGAAGCTCACTTCCAACTACCGGAGTTTACGTGCCGCTGACGGAGAGCCACGTGCCGCCGCTGGAGTTCACCAAACAGCTTTCTTTCAGCCGAAATCACCATAGAACTTCAATGTCAGCCCTAATCCCGAATGGCACTCGCAGAAATACCTCAAATCGCACTAAAAAGCGGAGAATCACTTGCTATCGCACGATCTGCTCTGTCATAGCTTTTCCTTCTTCGGCCTTCTGGTTTCGTGCATAGAACCGACTGACCGAGCTCCTCTGTAGCTTCTTTCCTTAAACAGGAGACCAAGACGCACGGGAATGCCCTCCTCCGACAAACCCAATGAACATAGCCTTAATCTACCATGCAATCCTTCTCCTCCGCTTCTCCCACGTACACCACTGTACTAGTCATATTATGAACTGGTCGGAGATTGATGGTTGTCTTTCTCTAGCGTCAGGAATGGATTGTTCAACCCTCCTTTTGGTCTGATGTAATTTTGACCTCTAAAACCCTAACCCTATCCCTGACCCTGACTCTAATACCATATAAGCATTATAGAAAGGAATACTGAATATTTACTTGTCTTTTATTGAAATGTGAATAGAGATATATATACATGTAAATGAATTCATATATGATAACCAACATAAATCACCGTATTAATTTTTTTCCTAATTACGCTAACATGTTTGGAAAGGTAATCATATTATTATGTAGAGAGAATATTCTATAATATTTTAACAATTAAAAATGATGAGATGGGGGAACAAATATTTCTAGCTAAGTAGATTTAGAAGGCGAACACACCACCAAAAATTGCACTTTTGCTTGCAAAATGGCTAGAAAATGTATTCTGACTATCGACAAACTAATAAAAAGGGAGAAAATAATGGTGAATAGATGTTATCTTTACAAAAATGCAGCTGAATTCTGCAACCACATTTTAATATGGTGTCTAGTGGTCTATAACTTGTGGACTGTAGTGCGTAGATTGTTAAGGATCAACTGGGTTATTGCGCATTCAGTTAAGGATGAGATTTGAACTTGAGAAAGCATATGTAAAAAGAAAAAATTTGTAAATCTCATTCCTTTGACTATTTCTTGAGTGATCTAGAAAGAGAGGAATATAGGGTTTTTTAGGAGACGGAAAGGGAGATTTTTAAAGACAGAGACAGTTGGATTCATTATTTTAGGGTCTTTTTTCCTAGGTCATGACAAATATAGTTTAGAAGATTTTAGGCATATAGTTGACACTCTAACTGAATTCATCTTGTATATGGGTGACACCTTCTTGGTATCTTTGATTAAATATACTATTAATACTTTTTCTTTAAAGAAAGAATGTATTGCATGGTAATTGAACCAAACACAATGTAATAGTAGTTTAGTTATGAAGATAGAGTTAAGTGATATACTGTAATCTCTATTGTATTATGAATGTGAAACATTTTTCCTTGTGTTTCGATTTGGAATTCATTATGAGGACAGACTTGCAAAAATGTTGCTAGTCTTTTGCTTGTATACTTTTTGATTACTTCTATTTTATTTTTCTGTTCTGTGACTAATCTTCCAATTGTGACCCTTTATGATAACAAAATATATGCACTTATATATGAATATACCGATAGGAAAAGAAGATTTTGTTGACAAAAAAAAGAAAAAGAGGGAAGTAGGTATAATAGCTGTTACACATTGCAACTGAAAAATATATTACCATATTTAGTTGATCTTATATATCTTTGAAACTCCGTTTCTGGAAGCTTGTCATATGACATCTTTTCACGACTCTCTTGGTTTGAGACCTAATAAAGAAATTAATCATTTAGGTTGGTAACTCAACCAATGAATTAATCAAATCAATTATGACCTAAGATCCATACAGCTGGAAGATCAGAAATGGCGTCTTGAAGAACAACAGCTTTTTCTAGTTCAAGAGCTTGGCCTTCATCATAAGCAACAGTATTTCGCTGATAAATAAAGTTGTCACGAGTTAGAAATCCATACCACAAAACACTCAAATAATTTAGTAAATGAAAGCAAAATGTATGAATGACAACCTCAAACTCAGGTGGAGGCCATAATTTGACAATAACATCATGTGTAGGAAGTGGGAATTGAGGCAGTTTCTGCAGAGAGAGAAGATAAAAGAAGTTGTAATTTGGACTTAGAAGATGACATACTACAGATGTCTAAGATTGCTTAAGTACTTTTTTCTTCTTGATGAGTTTATTTACATGTCAGATGATGTCTATTAATCAGTTAATTTTATGTTCTTTTAACAACATCATTTTAACTAGTGACTAAAAGTTCCACCACTTCTTTTAGAGAGAAAACATCCCATCATTCGAACTTCACCTATTAAACCAAAAAAATCACCTCACTAGGATGAGCTCCCCATACGAAAACACGCATACGGAACTGTGGAAGACCGTAACAACCAGCTGCCATAATACCAAGTCTTGCTTGGTACTTCATATGTACCAAACGACTTAAAGCGTATCTTGCAAGAGAGGCCTTATCAAATCTCAAGATATCAACCACATTTTCCATCAATACAAACTTTGGTTTCAAGAATTCTACTATGTCCATGAAGACTCCAATTTGTCGATTTCTTTCATCATCCCAAGGACAATCAAAACTTCTATAACGATTGTAACCACTAATACCCTGGCAAGGAGGGCCGCCACAAATAACATCAACGTCACCCTGGATTACAATGGCTGATTATGATAGAGATAACCAAGGAAAAGTTATCACAATGGAAAGAATGCTTCCTCCTACAAAGCAGTGGAGGAGAGAACTTACTGGAAGTGGCAAGATCTTGGACCTGAATCCCTCTCTAACAAAGTCACATATCAGCTCTTGGCAATTACTGAAAATTTTACACGAAATTAGTCAAAATCAGAGTGCAACTGAGGAAATAATTATAACTACAACACATTACAGACCTTAACTCGTCAATTGGTTCCCAAGTATCTTCCCTATCACTGTAACCTTTCCAGTGCACCTAATGAAATAGCTATGAGTAGAAAATCATCATCAACAAACTACAATATTCAAAAAGAGTCAATCAATGCACATTACCGTACCATGAATGCACTAAGGGAAAAGAAAAAGAAAATACCAATTCATATTATAAAGAAGCAAAAGCCTCAACAGTCTCACCCTGTGGCGAACTGACAAATGGCATCCTCTCAAGTACCTTAAATTTTAGACCACGCTTTCCTTTTTTATTTGAACTACCATAATGTATATCTACCAGCTTCCCAACTTCAAATTCACCAGGAGCTAACTCATCATTGCTATCAGCATCTATGGCCTTCTTGGAGGCCATTGATCTTGATTGAATTCTTCCTTTCATGTCCCAAGTGATATATCTTTTGCATAGCTTTTCCCATTCTTTCAGTAGTTGGAGGAAATCCTCTGCCGAATCATTCCTGACCTACATGAAAGAACAAGGCATTGCTAAATGCATCCAAACATATGCTCATTGTACCAACAGAGTAAGACAAAAACAGTATAAGGTACACTCACATGAGTCTCAGGATGATTTAATTTCAAGCTTTCACATGCAGCTTCATCACTGTCAACAGACCATCTCTTAAGGGCAGAAAATAAGTACACAAATTAGCTGAACAAACTTAATTCATCTTAATGGTCTGAAGTTAGAATAACCAAACAATAGAAATAATTTTTTTAAGGTACCGTCACTAAATCAACTCCAGAAACTTTGGCACCCAGGCACAATCCAGTTGACATTCCACCACAGCCTGAATAAAGATCAAGCAATGCCAACTCTGCTTTGCTACTTTCATGATGTGAGTTTGTACTGGCTATTGCAGGGACATTTCCGCTGCAACTAGCTAATGGTAAATCAGGGCTCTTGAAAGATTTATCTGAAGCAAAACATAAGATAAGATATACTAGCATCTAACAGTTACAATTATGTCAACAAAAAATCTTAGTATTACTAATTATCATAGAAAATATTGTAATTTTATTATATGTAGAAAATACATAGGTATTTATAGATATGTCTGTCCTAAACAAGGTAACCTGTGACTGGAAACTCTAACTACATAGGAAAGATATATACTAGAAAATAATTTTACAGGAAATATATACTATAGTCACTCTCCCTCAAATTGGAGCATGTAGATCATCTGCATCAAGCTTCTTACAAATGAACTTCACACAACCTTCTCTTAAGGATTTTGTAAATATACCAGCTAGTTGGCCAATTGACTTCACATGAGCAATCCGAATAACATTTTGCAAATATTTTTCTCGAATAAAATGACAATCAACTTTAATATGTTTAATTTATTTACTAGGCTATTTCATCATAACTTCATGGGTTGTGATTGTTAAAAATCACTTTCGTGAAGTAGATGTTTCAACCTAATCAATTCACATGTAATATGAGCGTAACTTGATATTCTAACTCGGTACTAGATCTAGCCACTGTAGTCTCTTGCAATATACCTTGATACCAACTACAAAGACTAGTGCTGTGGTGGAATTATGCTTAAAAGCAAAGCCAAACATGTTTATACCCTTAGATCAAAGTATGCCGATGATCTTATACTAGGATCTTCCAAAACTTCACCCTCATCCAACCAGTTAGTCATTAGATCTATCAGTATCAACATCCCAATGCCTCATCTATGACAAACGAATTCTGGATTTCAATTTAGTTACCTCAAAGCCTAAAAAGTTCCATAAGGACCGCAAATCTTTAGTTTGAAATTGATCTTTTTTTTTTTTGAAATATAGTTTGAGATTGATCTTGAAGAAGAACCTTCAAAGCTTCTTGAATTCTCTTACTATCATCATCAAATACCAAAATCATCAAAATATAAAATGTGCAAGATTTTCTTCCTGCATAGTAACAATGGAAAACATAATGGTCAAACTGATGTAAAACAAACCCCATCACAACTTCAATAAACTTTCCAAAACCAAAACCTAGGAAACTATTTGACCTGTATAAAAAGCTATCAGTTGATAATCCAACTTACACTGAAAAACTAAAAAGATTCCATGTAAATGGTTTCTCCAAACCATAATGCAAAGATGCATCTTTTATATTGAGATGTCAGGCATAACTTACAAATTGGGACTTTTTGGCCAAACAACTAGCAAGATCAAGGTTAAAAACTAGAATTATGCTTGAGAAACCCTTATGAAGAAGTGGCTAGACTGAAAAAGATGAAAGCTGCACATGTAAATCTGACTAGGAAATATAACACTCATAACGTTCTTGAGAGCGAGAATACCCAAGAAAAAAAAAACTTAAGAGTTTTAGGATCTAAATTGTCACCACCAAGCTGTAAGTGAGGAATGGAACAGACACAAGAAGAAAGAGATATAGACAAAGGAACAAATTTGACTAATAAGACAGCATGCACTAAAAGAACATTATTACTCTAAAACAGCAGGGAAACATCCATACAAATCAATAGAATAAGAGCTATTTAAATTAAGCATTGAGTTTTTCGCTCAACAACACCATTCTATTGGGGAATGTTTGCATAAGAGAACTGATGGATCATCCCAATTGTGGAAAGGTATGAAAAATAATTGTTTCCGTTGTCACTTGAAGGAATACACACAGAATACATAGACTATGATGAATTAAGAACTGATTTTCTAGGATTTTGTTCCCTCTTATTTCTCTCTGCATTCATTCTTCTTATTGTTGTTTAATCTAACACATCCTACTCAATCTATTTCTCCCAGGCTTCTTTACTTTAATCTCTAATTTGATCTTGTCTATCTTATTATTCTATTTCTTACATAAATTCTTCTATTTCTAAATTATTTGCAGAATACATTACTTAGTTTATAATTTATCCTGTATCACCTATTGTTTATGAAGGCTCTATGACATGAAAATGGTGATGATAATGTTGACAAGGATATCGGGCAGCTGCTAATGCTGGACTCTGATGGATGAAGGAGAAGGATTTTTGGAGATGCTTGTAATCTGTGATTAAGTGGAAGGAATAACAGGGGTTTGGTGTCAAAGGAAGTGGTGGAAGAAAAGTTTCCATAGAGATGCTTCAGAGTGGATGCCAGAAAATACTCGGAAGGGCTATCTTTCAGGAGGCAAGCTTACAATCATTAAGCACCCTATCTAATGTTACTGTGTAATTATCTCTCTTTACTTCTGCGCACAAGAAGATTGAGCAGTGTAGTTTCTTGTGGCATGACTAATGATTAGAAAAGATATCACTTAGTAGATTGCAAAAAGGTTGAGCTTCCTCTTGTCCCGGGTGGTTGTAGAATCATATCTTTGGTTCTCTTTACTAAAGTGTTGCTGGGAAATGGCGGCAGAGGTTAGTTGAAGGTTGAGGACAAGTTACTTGAGTGTTGTTAGGACTGAATTCAGAAGATCATTTTGCAGTAGAGAGCCAAGAACACTAGAGATCCCTGTGGTGTTAGCTTTTGGAAGAATTTAAATGTCGGTTTGGATGCTTTCTTTCCTTGCATTAAGATGAGAATCCTATCGAATGGTAGAGTGAAGTTTCAGCATGAGGATTTGTGTTGCAAAGATCTTACAAAGGAGCTCTTCCCTATTGTTTTCTCTTCAGCCTGGAGAAAAAGATGTTGTTGTATACAATTTGTTTTTGATAGCTATTAGAATTTGGATATGAGAAAAATCTCAGTAATTTTAGAGTTAAGCAATTATGATAGATTTCTAAGCCATCCTTCAAGGTGTAGTGTTTCACCTTCAGAAAGATGATGTACCTCTTCGGCAATTGATCACCAGCGGATCCTTCAGTGAAATGCTTCAACAAATATATCTCCTCAGCCCCTCACTTGCACATATCTTTATTCCAACGGAAGGCTGTTGAAAGCTAAGCTTCTTCCAAACTCTCCCCCACCCACCAAAAGAGATTGCCACATTTTTCGCTTGGGAAGCAATTAGGAGGAAAATTCTCATAATTAACAACCTTACAAAGGGAAGCAAGATTTTAGCAAGCATGCCATTGGTGCAAGAAGGACATTGAGTCTCCTTAGCACCTGTTACATTGTCAATTTCCACTGCTATCTATGGTTCACTGCTATAGATTTTTGTGGGTCTAAATTGGGAAATGGCAAGCTATATGGTCGATATGGGCTTGGTAAGGTATTCCTGATGATAAAATAAGGAGAAAGATTATTCTCTCATTCCCTTGACCACTTCAAGGGTGGTCCAAGAGGGGATGGATAGAATGGCCTTCAATGAGATCACTTCCTTCGGGAGATTTAGAGATTTATGGTTCCAATATCTGAGAATTTTGTAAAGGAAAATCCTCTTGTTTATCATGAGGATTTGAGACACCTTATTGATATTCTGATTAAAATATAATTCTCTCCTTTTTGTGCATGAATCGTGTGCACATTATTTTTAGAACCAATGTAAATGCACTTACTATTATGCAAGGTTCTAAATGTTGAATACTCCACACAATACTCCATGTCAAAGTAGTAGTCAGATTGAATGCAAGCCAATTTCGAACCAACCTGCAATAAATCACAAGTACCAGTAATTTTAAACATGATTATGTCGATTAACTAAAAGAAATGACAAGAATATGTC